AGGAATGCAGTATTTTCCAGCTGGAAACATAAGAAACCCCAAAAGCCTGAAACCATCACTGGTATTTGGCAGTTTCAAGGGGAAATGGTCTCAACTGCTTATTTCACACATGATGTGTCTTCCAGCACATAAAAAAAAACACCATATGGATATTTTAAGAAGTTAACATACAAACATTTTGAGTCAAGAGATGTTATGGCTTGGATTTTAATATGCAGAAATCAGAAGTTTATATATATATATATGTGTGTGTGTGTGTGTGTGTGTGTGTTACTCATCTTGCGCTAACCCTGCCCTACTAACTGGGTGTTGATATTAGTTTCCAGACATAAACTTGGATGGCATTCAGAGCTCAGACCCTGACAGTGAAGATTTGAGCTCGTCCAACCAGGAAATTGCAGGTAAATTCAGCAGCAGCAGCAGCAAAGAAAAAAAAAAGCCCAGAAGAGGAGCGAAATGACTGACAGCTCAAACTGTCGGCCAGCAGGAAACTGGAAACTGTCAGCTGACAACAGATAAATCGTTATAATTTCCGCAAAAAAAAAAAATCAAAATGTTCTCGGTTTTGTAAAGTTTTTTTCTGCACAACACCGGTTCTAAAAGAAAACCCCCCAGTCCCATTTAAAACAGTGTTGCACGATGTCTCAGAACAAATCAGCATGCAGACAGAATCTTCTATTACGTCTTATCTTAGCATTTAAATGTCTAAAAATAGTACATTTCATTTAAAGACAAGCACAATTACAGAATTGCACAAATGCTAATAGTGCTAGCATTTATCACTTTTAACTGGATGGGATGTCCTGATCAAGTTTTGTTTTTGTGCCCGATCTGATCAGAGTCATTTAATATTTGGCACCTACTGATGTTGAATCTAGTTAAGACACACTTTGAGTATGTTGAAGGTGTTTCCTTAAGGTTCTGTATGTGGTCATGGACCTCGCTGTAGGACACGGTTTGAAATGTCGTGTTAGAGGGTAGGACAGACTGACGCTCCACAAGCTCCGAA